CTCAACACACCTGCCGGGAAGTTTCTAGCATGCCTAGTAAGAGCTTGATTAGCTGGTTCAGGTGTGTTTGATTAGGGTTGGAGCTAAACACTGCAGGACACCGGCCCTCCAGGACCGAGTTTGGGCACCCATGCTTTAAATAATTAGTTTGGCTGCCATATATTTCTTTTTAAACGGCAATTAATTTGGTAACACTCACGCATTAGAGTCATTTTCAACAAATCGATTCAGCTTTAAGGGCCCTGCACACAAAATGGCCCACTACAAATATTGACACATGAAGATGGGTAGAAGCCAGAGGCACCCTGTTGATCGCAGCATCTGTGCCTCGAAACGCAGACTTCCAGCATTATACCACGACATGAACAATGGAAGCCGAACTAGATTTGGCTTTCCTGAATGATCACGTTTCTGATATCAGCCGAGAGCTGATAACAGATAAAGGCAGCTGTGCTGGAGGACGACAGACAGGAAAGCCTGCCGAAGCACAGACAAGAGGCTAAAGCGCATTTGTCAGGCGGTATTGCTCACCAGGGCTTTCTCAGCCGGTGAATGTGAGGTGACAGTGTTTGCAAGAATTAAAACATTGTGCTTTATCTCACTGCCTAAACCTGATACATCATATTTTCAGTGAGGTGGCGCATGAACACGTACAAGAGGGGTTGGCGTATGGGCCAAAGCGGAAGGGGTATTTTTCTGAAACAATGCGACGACCAGGGACCACTCAACCAGGCAAGACCAAGCTGTTGCCTGGCTCACGGTCCATATGCAGTTCTCTACACCCCTTCACATGCAGGAGACGGTGAGGAGCATCAGTCTCTCTTACAGGATCACGCAGCTCCTGCACAGCCAGCGATATCCCTTCTGCTTTTCAAAGGCAACAGATATATCAGAGCAAAGGCCTCACGTTGTCAAAGACAATATTCAAGCCCCCTCTTTGATGACATTTTAGCATGAAATCCAGCCATGCATGTTTAATACAAATAAATAAATTAAACAAATTAATAAAAAATTATTACGGATCTTGCATAGGGATGCACCAGTGTTCAATAATTTTGTTATGGCTGATAACCAATAAACGTCTGATATTAAAATTTGATACAAAAAACATGCATTTTAAATGCTGCAAGTGAATTTATGCATCACGACAATATAATGTACAGTATGAAAAACTGATATTTATTTTGACATTTTCTGAAGATTTAAATAAAATTGTACTATTTAAAACTATTACCGTTATTAAAAATTAATTTTAAGTGAGAATTAGATGATGGCAAATGTAATCCAAATGCAAAAAAGGGTAAAATAAGCATGCATAATTAAATATCTAATATCTAGTAATACTAATACATTTTTAAAAACATTTTCGTTCATATATTAGCTGGTTCCGAAATACTCTTCAAAGAGGTCAAATTAGGCTAAAACAAATATTATATGGGTAACACTTTGCACTTTAGGTTTAATGTGTTAACATGAATGAACAATGAACAGTTTTCCACAGCATTTATTAATATTAATGTTAATTTCTACATTTACTAACTCCTTTTCAAAATCAAAAGTTGTATCTGTAAACATTAATCTGTTAATACACTGTGAACTAACATGAACAAGCAATGAACAACTTTATTTTTATTAACTAACATTAACTAAGGTTAATATGTGCTATAAAAATATATTGCTGAGTTCATGTTAACAAATAAGACTTTTTTTGTAAAGTGTTACCAATATGCAACGGATCTTTTTGATATTAAATGTGCTGAAAAGACAGCTTTATGTACACTTGACAAATTAATTTGGTTATGCTAAGTGCCAATACAATAAATAAAAAGATGCCAGTAATGGGACTTTAAGCAAGCAGGAAGAAATTCATTGTACGGGACAGTGTGTACAGGAGTGGGCAGCTGTGGAATTAAAACTCCATATTTTCATAATTGATTAGTCAGTTGGTTGTCTAAACAAGTACAGTGTCTGTGTTCAGGAAACTCTATACAATACGCCTGCATCATCCCTACCAGACCCCAATCAGACATGTTTCAGACACTACTGTACAGTAAGTGCAGCTCTTTAATAAGGCCAGTCAACAAATAACTATAACCTTGTATTGAACAAAGCTACCAAAGTCCTCATGAGAATGGTTCAATACACAGCGGCACAAAACCACTTATGCGCATCCCGGATGCAGAATGATATGCTTCAATGTAATCTCAGCGCTGGGCTCATGGGATTTCCCATGATTTCCCAACTGTTAGATCAGAAATATTGTCTGTGCCCAACACCTAGTTTACTGCACCCAACAGTCTTTTGAGTCTTCATTGTGCTAAAACAATTTATTAAAGCATTCATCTGCAGTATTCTGACAGACACCCGGGAGTTAATTCCACACCATGAAAAATCAGACAGACTATGCTGAATATAATATACTTAAATCCCTCCATAAGACCTCAGATGCAAACATATGGGTTCTGCATAACATTTTTTTTTCAGAAAGGGTTTTACCATGCTAAAATGCTAGCATGCTAAAGTATCACTGCTAAAATGATTGCTGAAAGAAACTCACACATAAATCTATGTAAAGAGAGAGAGAGAGAGAGAGAGAGAGAGAGAGAGAGAGAGCTCTGCTGTGCATTTTCAGCAAAGTTAAAATATGATTTAAATTTACATATCTTAGCTTTTTAGTAAAGTTGGATCATTTCGATACAACTTGTTTTAAATATTTTAAATAAAACTCATCTTGCAGCTTGGAAGTGTACAGAGTCTCCTTGGTTCGGAACCATCGCATTAAAGGAAACATTACCGTACATGTTCACGCTGTTCATTTTCATCTAGCAGTGCATGAGAGACCTAATTCAATCCTTGTTATCACACAGCTACAGGTTCAGTACAGTACAGTGAATCCAACTGCATTGCATGCCAGGCATAAATAGACATAAACTGATCAACTTAGCATAAATGCCTCTCTCACACATCACACTAAAGGTATTATCCCCAGCAGCCTGTAGACCGGTTTTATTTCTCATTAATCAGCCAAGCTTAACCCTTAAATGGTGTCTGTATCCTGGGAGACTTTTGAGAGGCTGGGGGGGGTAAACATATTTAAAATGAAATTTCCTGCAAATATTCAGGACAAACAAACTATGGTGTCAACTTGCCACCTTTATCTAAAAGTAATATGGCAACATGCTGTGAGAAGGCCACTGACCTTGAGGTAAATGTTCCTATCCTTTACCACAGGCGCACGGGACACCCCTGCAGCACAGAGGGCCCCCTCACGGCATTTTGAGCCAATTATAGTTAAATTTCCCCATCTACAACGATTTTTCTCTACATAGGAGCCGCATCAAGCTGTGTGAATCCACTGATTTTTAATGTGGCGTAGAGTCAGCGTTGATGCATTCGCACACAATCATAATTGGTGCAATCAAAGTATCACACACTCCAATGTTGATTTAAGTTAAAAAAAAGATATGCCAAAAATATAGGCTATATGCTACTTTTAATTTGGACTTGCTTCAGCTTCAGCTTGCTTCAGCGCACCAAATTTACAAGTTCATGACAAAAATAGAACGTTCAACTGAAAAAAAATTCAGCACAGAAAATAAAATAAAAAACATAATGAGATTGTCCAAAGTAACATCACTGTTTGCCATACTATTTCACTGTTGACCTTATTTTTAATGTAAGAGGTGGTGCATTTTCGTAACATTCCTTTGCCGTGAAAATAGTTTTATGTTTACTACACTTTTTTATTCTTATCATTTACACATATCTGCTAATTAAATAGATGTATGGCACATTCACAGGTAATAGCTTCTGGTCTAAAAAAAAAATAAAATAAGGTGGATAAATAAAAAACGCTTGTACTCGACGTCACATCTTGTGGGTGGGGCCTCGTGGCATGGATCACAATAAGTCTTTGACATGTTATATTTTAACTCCAACGCATTATTTTGGGAAAAAAATTGCTTTATTATTTCAGTTCTAATGTGTCGGAAAATAGCAATGCAGTTTCATGTTCGTGCCTATTAAAGGGTTAATGCGCGTGCCGTCCGTGTGCGCTTCATTCCATAACAGACTCTTACATCAAAGGACGTCTACTCTTGTAAAATATACTTAAAGTGGTGGTATCTGAAGATAAATGTAAATTTAGATCAGGGTATTAGCGCAGAATATATTATCGTTAGTGGCTCCAGAACAAACGGCGCTGAAAGAGCAGTTGTGAAGACGCGTTCAACAGATGGGCGACTGCTCTTCCTCACAGCCGCAGACCTGTACGGACAAATCTTGCTTTGATTAATTAGCATAAAGCCTGGTCGTGAATGTTAATTGAAAGACAGCTGCATTGGCTTATTGACTAAACGATTATCAGTGTGTCGGTTATTGATATAAACTGAATTCTATTTTAAGCTGCGCCGTTAAAGGCGCCAAATCACAGTTGTATCACCTTCAAATAACATTACAGTCGCGCGGTGACAGTAGAGACGGTATTTAAACGTCGATATGAACACAATGACGAAAACCCAAAAGAACATACAGCTGTAGGCGAAAACGAGACGCAACCTTCAACATAATGTTTCTACTTACAGTTTTCCAGTGAGACGTACACTGGTTGATCATGTCACTCAAGGCAAGCTCACCATGAACGTGGTCTGATTGGTATAAAAATACATTTTCTCTGTAAGTTTATGGTCGAGGCATGAATAGGAAAGGCAACAGAGACCTCGATCCTGAAAGCATTTCTGTTCTGAATGCTGCTTATAAGGATAATAGGCTACACTTGATTCTGAAGAGAGAAAAAAAAAAGAGATTTGGTTCAAATTCACAGGCGATACTTTTACATAGGCTATTCCAACTTAAAAGGACTAGTAAGTAAATGTATTCAGAGTGGTCGGTCTATGATAATACGCTAGTCTTTTTAGACCATTCAAATGCACAGATTGCGAAGCAACGCAATAACAGTTATAACATATGGATATTAAAAATATATATAAGCACTGACATACCTTGTCTCTGTCAGCAGTAGTTATTCTATATTCCCCGATTTGTTCCGTAGATGCAAATACAATTTGCCATCCATGACACGTCTCAGTTTGAGATTGAGTATCTTTTACCACAATCTACCCCCGCAAAAACGAATCCGAGTATTTTCAGAGGATGAGAAAATAAAAAACTGAAAAGGGCAGATACTAAATAACATTAGAATAGAAGGGGAGAAACAATAAACCGAATCAAATAAAAAAGAAGCGAAAACAAAGAAGGGACACAAGAAAAGTGCGATAAATCAAATGCGGTAGAAAACGAATTGACTTTAGTTCACAAACAGGGCTCCAGTAATTCCACGCTGCGTCTCTGTATTCCAAACGCACAGTGCGCTCTGAACGGGGAACGCCGATCTATCCGTTTATTCCCAATCTGCTGCGGTTTTACTTCCAGGACTTCAACTTGCAGTAGCATCACTTACACCTGAGCGTTCGTGTGAAAATACATTTGCCTTCTCTCCTTTTCGGCTTCGGCAGAACCCCTTTCCATGCATTGGCATCCGAGCTCTCGGTAAAGAACCGCCGCACTCAGTCAGGCGTCTGGATGCCCGCATTCACTGTAGCAGCGAGGAGGATAGAGGCGCGTTCACGCTCTTCTTTCTCAAGGGAGTTGGACGCGCGCGCTGTTCACGTACGTCAGCCGGCGCGTGCTCCAAATAGAACGCTGGGGAAGTTCGTTTCGAATTCTTCGATTTCGCAGCTCCGAATATGATATTACGTCATTATGCATTGGGTTTTTGCTTCCTTTCTGCCTGCAGGTTGGAAGTGTTGTCGTCAAAATGAGAATGAAGTGAGTAGACAACTTGACACCAAATGAACCAAACACAAATATATGACTTGTGGTAAATTTCACCCCCCCCAGTTTTTCCATGGTCTAAATGTTTCATGGGTACAATAGTTTTTGAAGCTATGCATGGACTGTTTGACAAACTGGGGTAGGCTATCGAAGAGACACCAACCATATGATTAAATGTGTTGAAGCATTAAAAATATTGAAGCAGCACTTTGCAAGTTACAAAACTCAGCACTCTGGCATGGAATGATACAGCCTTTTATGTCCGCGAAGTAAGCGAAGTAAATGCATCAGTCAGCATAAATTGGTCTATAATAACCAGTATGTCTTAAGCAAAATCAGACTCATCAGACTCTT